GAATCATTGTGGAGGGGGAGGGGGTTACTGGCCGATCCAGAATGAGCGGCCAACAGGAAGGCGGGTGGGGCGGCAGGATTAATGCTCACCCAGATTGCAAATCAATGACCTCGTTTACCACTGCGCCTGGATTGCCCTCTATTTCATAATGGTGGGACAAAGTTTGCGAATGAATGAAAACGTTCTCTTTCCAGGTATTTGCGTGGACAAGGAAGAAGACGTGCTGATCTGGTGCCCGACAGGTCTTCTTCGGAACAAAGTTTAGTTCCGGAATCGGGAGTAGTAGAAAATAAAGAGTAAATCATCCATGACTTCATCCATGACTTCGTGACTTCGGAAATTAACAGACAAATTGGGAAACAGCTCATACGGATTTCTTACCGCCTCCCCGGCCATTTCATACCGAACGTTGCGAAGACATCAGTTTTAAGACAAGGACATATGTCCCTGTATATGCTCGGCTGTGTATACAATCGTAAATATCAGAAGTTTAGCTAGTCGACGCGAATATATCCTTAGTCTTTGACGTGACTAATTTTATTCTCCTCGTGATTACTGGTTAAGGTCATATCTTAGTTTTCTTTGTAAACGCTTACACTTGTTAGCCTAGCACATATAATACTCAATTGAATACAAGTCTAGAACAAGGAATAGTGGGGTTATAATCCCATTAAAAAATTCGCGTTCCTACTGAACAGCATACTTTTAAACCTCAAGATAATCTTCTGTAATTACAGACCTATTCGAAGAGTGTAGTAAAATTGAGATGCTCTAGGGCGGAATTCAGTTTTATCAGCAAAGTACTACTGAATTCCTAGTATTCCCGAGGATGCTTCGAACAGCTGGTCCACGTATTGGGCTGAGGACTATAATGTTCTATAAAACACACAAAGAGGACACTACATCGTAATTACCAAGCCGGTATGAAAATCGCTTCTATTAGTTTGTGAGGCCCAGTGTAACAAACATAGCTTACGTTTGTCGGTAGTTGTCTGGCTATCTAAAGTGCAAGCGTGTTTGCTTAAGGAGTGCATTATGTTTCATTAGGTCACGTTTTAGTCCACTCATATTGTCGAAGAGAACGATATCGGGATCATTTAGTAACTCCTATAGATAAAATAGGATGAAGGGGAGGATGGTTTAGATAACAAATTAACTTTACACGCCTGGGGTTCTGTCTGAAAACATACATAAAATAAGATACGACGACAAATAAACAAACGTAGAATATAGAGTTTTCTAAACGCTCCTGGTAAGCTATTGGGACGTTTCATCAGCAGGCTTATAAGCCGGTAAACAGCATCATGATCTAAAATTTACAAAAATGTCATTTTCTTTATACAGACGTCACTGACTGTCAGCACCGAGAACATGAGATGAGCTCTCCATTACGCCTCGTGGCTTATTCGAATTAAAATTGTGAAACGTAACATCAAGGATGACAGCCGCTCAGTCAAATTAATTATAATGCGCAGGAGAAAATTGGATTAAAATGCAATGCAGACAAAATAATACCAGTGAACGCTCCCAATAATCAAGAACACTTCGAAAAGCACCAGTTTACTTTACGTACGAAGTCTGTTATATCCACTGTCAGGTAATGACTTGTCAGAAGATGTTACCACCAAGGAAAGTTGCTCATAGAGCAGAGAGAACTACGCTGAATGCAAATTTGCATATAAATACTAGCAGTGGACAGGAGGGATGCTTACTTAAAAGTCACATCACCCATGGTGAGATCTCAGTATAGAAAGATTGAAGAGACTAAAATCCATCAAGGAGCCCTCAAACCCGTAATTCCCAGGCTGACTTGCTCGTTCTTATCAGCCCCAGCATCTGCTGCGCGTCTTGCTCTCTTTCACTCTTCGCCTTCTTTACCACAATTACCATTTCGTTGAAACTTGATTGTAACCCAACACTGTTCCAAAGTCCATTTCCTTACATGACCGGAAAGCAGAAACGGTGCTAGCAGCTATCACTGCCTAATGTTATCTTAAAACTGCTTCTACAACATCGATCACGCCGTCTTAACGGCCGCGACACGCGCACTCTGCAATTGCCATGGTTTGTCTCGAGAAATCTGACCTTGAGAGCGTGCATATGCTAACTGGAACTGCTGTAATGCTGTCGTAAACTGCACAAGTTCCAGTCTGCAGATGCTGCTCCATATACACGCCAGCCAGACCGTTGATCCGCGTAGCAGGCACTGCGAAATCACATTTACTGAAGACTTGCGTAGCACCCAGAGTTTTGCAAAGTCTTCTCATCTACTCATTGTGCACATCAATAATTTAAAACAGGCAACACACCGAGAGGCTGAAATTTCTTCACTTTCTTGTTTTCTTGTTTTTTTCTTCCTTCTTCTCCGATTCCATTTATTTAGGGTTCTTTTAGTCGACAAGACTACTGCCTAGCACCTTACAACTCAACGAATCATGCCCCTTAAATTTTGTAACGGTCCGGAGGAATTCTTCGACGAATTAGCTTGCGGGTTGGCATGGACAGCGGCGGCAGTAGTCTGAAATGATGCTAAAAATAGGAACAGTCAAAGTATGTGCGCAGCTAAGGAGTACAAAATGTGTAAACTGAATTAAAATGGATTATTTACAACAACCAAGTAATTCAACGTCCATTGTTCTAACCTTGGACAGGTCCGTTCCGGATAACCACGCAGTCGACCCAGTAGGGGGAG